TCGTAACACCAGCTGAGCAGGCATCAATGCAATAAAAGGGAAACACAGTGAAAAAGAGTAAGTAAGCATGAAATGGTGCATGGAATCCTTCTTTCTTTTTCCTTTTAATTGACATCTATTGTAAGGATTTTTAAATCATCAAAATATTCCTGGAGGATACAATTTCACATTTTGTTAGTAGATGAATGCAGCCCATTCATGTTATGAGTCTTCAGTTTTGTAAAATTAGTTACAGAATTAGATCCTGCGGACTGACACATGTGAGAAGAAAAGACTCACACATCTAAGAACAGCTATTTTTAGTAGGTGTATAAAGTGGAATGGATAAATAAAGTAGGTAATATGCCGTGATGAATTTTCCTGGTGAACCTCATCTACAACATCTAGAGAACTTACTGTAGACAGAGAGTATGTAGTGGAAGATAACTTATCTTTTGAGACATCACCTGTCATCATCCCTTTTTCTGAGGACAAGATATAGAATACAGGCAGTGCAAAGAATTGCTCTTAAATGATACAAAAACTCCCATTCAGCAAGGCTCAATAGAATCAAAAAGGCCAGCATTGCAACATGCTGTGAAATGTTAATAGCCAGTGGAACATTAAAAAAAACCCCTGAAAATAGCCCCATTGTAGATTTAATAGGATTTTTCAGGTATGTGCAAGTCTAAATACGCTGGAGGTAGAGTAAGTACAATTTGCTAAAACCAATACTTCAACATGGTCTATTTTACCTTCATTTCCACAATATGAATACTTTAAAAGTATACCTCTTATTTTGAAAGCTGAGGTTGTTTTTGATGATAAAGCATGGACACAGAAACTGTGTTTTCATCATGTGAGGTAACATGGCTGTGGCATTGCTGGCTGCTGCAGCATCACTTAACCTTGTCCAGGCAGGACATACTGAGGAATCAGATTAGGCTATTGACAAAGAACTGCACAGATACATTTTCTTTTGCTATTCCCATGGTGTTTATGAATTCCTGTTTCTTTACTGCAAAAATCAGTCAGGCATCTTGGCATCAAATGACTGAACCTTATTTGTGCTACACCACTAGTTTAAAAGTGATCAGTCCTTCACACATTAGAAGGATTTGACACAGATTCAAGCAATGAAAATTTGTCCAAGATGTTTAATCTCTGTCATGTACAGGAGGTCAGTCAGTAACAAGACTATCATTAAGTGTACTCCGGAGTCATGCTAGAAAAATGACCTTTACAGTTTAGCATATGTTTAAACATAATCGACAGACAGGAAATAAGATAATCACACCCTATGGGGTCTTGCAGCTGCAAGACCAAAGCTGGGGTAAATTTGGAAGGCAGGCATATTTGGTAGTATAGACAGACTGTGAGAAGCAGATGAAACTGAAAGTATAAGAAACAGCATTTGGTGGGTGGGAGAGGTTTAAAAGCTCCAGTATTGCCTTTAATTGTCTTCTTTCATCACACCACTTTTTCAGGCAGTTCTTTTCTACCTTTCAGTTCTTCACTTACTGCTTCTGGAGCGAGCCCACACAAGGAGCTTTGTTCAGTAAGCTCTCAAATACTTTCTAATACTCTCCAGCTGTGATACAAGAATAAAATAATATTAGTAACTGTAAGAAGCAAATAAGGATCTCTTATTGTACAGCTGCAACCCTAAGACTACAAATATGTGCCAAAAGATGACCTACTGCCAAGCTAAATCCAGCCTGTTGTGTTTTATGGTACTGTAGTGTATTGACCAACAATCTTCCTCCTTCCTTGGCTTTCTGGTCATCTTTAGGATTGTGTTGAACAACAATTGGGTCTTGGATGTAACATCATTTTACTAGTGTGTTTATATATCATCTCACATTATGAAGACTTGGCTGTGACTGGATGCCAGGGTGTTATCAGTTTGCAAGTGATAGATGAATCAAACAAATGAAGTTGAACAACAAAGAATGGGTTCAAAGTGAAAACTAAGGATGTATGGTCACTAAAAGAAAATTTTCTAAGTTTATCATTTTTAGAAAATAATTGTTGTAAAATTCTCAGATATTGAGGTTTTGCCTTACATCAGGGGATATGAAAGGAAAAGCATTTATGAAGAAATGGTAGACTTCACTTCTGAAGCAGCTGTGCTTCAGAATTTGGCCCATTAAAATTTGACTACTGGCTAGCTAATCAAAATGGAATTTTGGAGTCATCAAGTTCAATAGAGAAATTCTCTCTTTGTACTCCGCCAGCAATGCCAAACACTAATAAGAAAATACTTGTTCTAGTTCCAGGAAGTTCTGTGGGGATCCTGATCCCTGAATGATATACAAATTCACTTTGTTAGGAGCAATGTTTTTCCAAGAAAAGGACACACTGCAAATTTGAACTGCAAATTAATGAGGAATCTAACAAAATAAAGCATAGATGTGCTGGTTCTGGCTGGGACAGAGTTAATTATATTCATAGGAGCTGGCACAGGCCTATGTTTTGGATTTATGCTGGAAACACTTTTGATAACACAGGGATGTTTTAGTTTCTGCTGAGCAGTGCTTACACAGCATTGAGACCTTTTCTGTTTCTCATCCCACCCCACCAGCGAGGAGGCTTGAGGTGTACGAGAAGTTTGGAGGGGACACAGCTGGGACAGCTGGCCCCAACTGACCACAGGGATATTCCATATTATAGGGCAACTTGCTCAACATGTAAAGTTGGGGGAAGAAGGAGAAAGGAGGGGATTCTTGGAATGATGGTGTTTGTCTTCCCAAGTCACTGTTAAGCATGGAGATGGCTGAACACTTGCCTACTTGTGGGAGGTGAGGAATGAATTTCTTGTTTTGCTTTGCACACGTGTGCCTTTTTCCTTCACCTGTTAAACTGTCTTTATCTCAACCCACGAGTTTTCTCACTTTTACCCTTCCCATTCTCTCCCCCGTTCCACCGTGGGGGAGTCAGTAAGTGGCTGTGTGGGGCTGAGTTGCTGGCTAGGGTTAATCCATGACAAAAGGAATTAAAAAAACCCCAATAACCCACTCCGCCTTCTTCTTACAGAGAACTATTAAAAGAATGAAAGCTGCATTACACACTGTAAATTAGTTTTATAAATCAGTCCAATAGTGAAATTTGAGAAAATAAATTAACCACTTACAGGCCATCATCACGCAGTATTTTTTAGAACTCATAGTAGAAAATAGAAACTCTGCATCCCATCTTTTGAAGGCCAGTACAACAACTCCAAGCCAGAATTGGAGTGTGCAACTGCACTTGTGATTACTCACTGTCACCTTCATTCTAGTTGAATGAGGACTGAAACCTTCCTCCGGCAACAGCTGACAGATGGAGATCCACTGGGTAATGGCAAATGATGCAAGCAGCACAGCCATTCCTTCCCCACTTCACTGTGCAAGATACCATGATTTCTACCCCATGCTTCCATCACCAAGCCTCTGTGATGGATACTCAGAGATGGAAGAGCCCTGAAGCAGGGCTCTTGTGGAAGAGAAATTCTTGAGGCCCTTGTGGTGGAAGAGAAATTCTGTGCTACATGGGCAGATATGGGTTTTGTGGATCTACTTTGAACAACAGGTGTCAAGTTATTGGTTAGTAAAATTACCACTGACTAAAGTCAGATAACAGCCAGAAAGGTCATAGTCTACAACACTGCTTGGATTCTTCATAATTTTATTTTGCAAGCAACAGACAATAAAATATCTTCACAAGTTTTAAACATGTGACAACAGCTGTTTAAATAATCTGTATTTTGGAAGATTGCTCCACCCCTTTTTCTATTGTCCATCCTCATCTTTCCCATCCGTGATTCAAAAATCATGAATTCATCCCCCAGATCATAACATCAGATCAAAGATTCTTCATGTTTATTATGTCTTTTAATGACTTCTTAAGCCTTTTCTCCAGAAGCACAAGGCCAGAGACACATTTTTCCTCAAATAAAACCTGAAAATTTCATGGAAGTCACTTGACCTTTTGAGCTGCTACATTAATAACTATGATAAATACAGAGTCAAATGCAGTCCCACTTGACCTTGCACATTGCTCCCCCATGAAGCAAGAAACTGCTGCTGAAAAGCCACAAGGCAAGGGACAGAACTGGAATCTGGGGTCAGAATGCTGCTGCCATGCTCCCAGTAACTTCCCTAATGCATGTTAATGTGAACTAATAAATAATTAGTCCAATTTTCAATGCAGCTTATATTTATTTTTCATATAGAACTTCTGACTTCCTTTTTTCCACTGTAGAAATTAGAAGTTCGCACTTAAAGAAAGGGAGTTCATTTATATCAAAATACAAACTGTTCCACAGTGGTAATTAGTGGTGTTTGGAAAATGGTCTAACCTGGAACGATCCCAGATCAAAACTGCAGAGCTAACATGCCTGTCCTTAAGGGTCTTTAAACTATGTTACTTTGTAAGGTGAAGATAAAACAAACATCACCAGACAGGTTTTCCCTCTAAATAGAAGGGACAAACATCATTACTTTATTTTGCAAGCAATAGACAATAAAATATCCTCTCAAGTTTTAAACATTCTCACTGCTGTGAATATTTGTAGTTAAAAGCAAAGGAAAGAAAGAACATGTGGTCTGGGAAAAATGAAAATAAGCCTTCATCTCAGTAATAAACCATTTAAAATATTTTGTGTGAAATTATGTTTTTTCATCCCTAGCACACAGGGTAGATGCAATAAACAAAAAAACCCTACTAAGACAGACAGCTAATTACAATATCATTGTGAGGCTCAGGGATTTAATTTAAGGTGGTCCTTGGGCTCATCTGGAATGTGCCACTTAATTACCTTCATAATTGCAGGTATACATGCTAAAAGATATCACCTGCTATACAACTTTTAAAGAAACGGTCAGACTGGTCAAACTTAGCTCTCCTATTACAGTGTCCCCTGAGATGTGGCTAAGCATCTGGAGATGATGCTGGACACTGCACTTGTATACTTTCTGATAATGGAGATAATTGTGTAATGGGTTATTCTCATGTAACAGTATAAAGTTACAAACTTTTCAGTGAGGAGTAATATGGCCTTGTATAAAGAAGAATTCACATGTATTTAAAAAATTACCTGTTTTTCAAAAGTTCTAGGTTCTTAGATTTACCACTGGACAGTATATACTGAAAGCTGGAGGGGGTTGCTGTATCCCATGCTTTTTTTTTCTGTATTTGAAGTACAGAAATTTCCTGCAAACATTTTCCCTTTAAATTTCTTATGATTTTACCTGGTGTCCAACAGTTTAAGGGTTGCAGTGAACAGGGCTATATCTGGCTGGCAACCAGTCACCAGCAGTGCTCCTCCAGTTTCAGCTCTAGGGCCAGTACTGTTCAATATATTTGTAATGTAATATATATTTTCTTACCCTAAAAATGTTTCTGTCCTGAAGTGGACAAGTAGATTTAGCCTTTTCAGATACTCTACAGTTTCATAGAAACAACATCTCCCATAACCTAGACTTGTTATGTCTGCCATTTTTCTGCAGTTGGCCAGGCTTTTTCTGCAGTTGACCAGTTCTGTGAAATTGTGTGAAATTCTATGAAGTTGTACAGTATCTGGAAAGGCTAAATCTGCCTGTTCACTTTAGGACAGCAACATTTGTTGTAAGAAAGATGTATGTTGATACTTTTAGTACGGTTTAAAACCTTTTCGTCTTCCATTATATTTTATTCCTGTTGTTTGAGGCTAAATATGATTTTAGTTGAAGTGGGTTTACCAGTCATCACACACTGCTAAGTGACAGTTTCCCAAAGAGATTGCCAAACCAGTTGGCTCTGTGGCTCAGTTTCTATACTGGTAAACTACTCGGAGGCAGGGCATTTAGTTTGGGTTTTAGCTTGCCACTATTCATATTGTTAAATTGTTTGACTGATACCTGACACGGCTTTGGCTCAGACCCCAGCACTAACCAGGAAGGATTTCCACTGGGCACCTTGGCAGGTTCTTACTGCAAGAATCACAAAACGCAGCCATGCAGCACAGAGACATCCACAGGCAGATATTATGAAGCTAATCACCAAGAGCAATTTTTTTTGTGAGTTTTACTTGTTTTTACCCAAAATCCTTGGGGTGAAATTGTGACTCCATTGATCTGAAAGACTTTCTGGGGATTTTAGTGAGACCAGGATTCAGCTGGTGGACCTGGAGACATTTCAACTCATAGTTGCAACATACTCCATGCTTCTTATGTCTGCATGGAGCCTGAGTGTCTGTGCAGTGTGAAACTTCTGCAGTCTGTGATACTGGGCATCTGCCCTGGAGCACAGAGATTTGACTAAAGATGACCAGGCCTCAGACACAACAAAAAATGTTCCTTCCATTCCTTGTATCTTTCCGCATTTCAAAGGAATTTATGGTATTTTTCATTTCCTACCCCCAGAGGAGTATGGCCTGCTGAGCAATAATTCCGTTTTGGTAACTCATCCTAGCAATTTCCAGTAGCAGCATTTCTTGTGTAGTCATATCTATACCGAAGTACAGAATTATCTAAATCCACCATATTTTAAATAATTTCAATTATGATGCTGTCAGTTTTTATAATGGATGGTAGCACAGAAAAACAATAGTCCATCAGTGTACCAGTGTAAAAAATTAGTTGTGATAGGGTGAAAAATTGAGCATTTTTCCCTATGATTTAAGACATTGGAGACAAGGTTTTTCATATGAAAAGTAAAATTTCACCCATAAATCAGTAAAAGCAGCTTTTAGAGATGTGCTCTATACTTTCATTAATAACACTTTTTTAGACTGGTTGAGTCTCTTTCTGTTTTGTAATTAACTTATCAAGGAGTAATGGTCTAATTTTAAAAAGCTGACTGGATGACAGAAATACTATTTGTTCTAAATTGAAAATATTTCAGCATCTGCCAAGATTAGATTTCTTTAAATTACCCTTTAAAAACATTGATTTCTAATACCGTATTTCCTTTTCTCAATAAAATAGAAATATATGTTCAGAGGAAGCTGTTCTTAAGGAGGCATTGCTGAGAAACAAAGCCATTCCAGTAATATTAATCCCTCTCCAATGAGCTGCCAAAAATAAAGTCTCTATTTAATGCTACAAGTTTGGTGGGTAGTCATTTTTTATTATCCACCAGACTGAGAATCTGAAATTAAATGTTTAGCAATATTTGTATAAATGAAGAAGCCCCCAGCTCTATACTTTGACATAACTAGGACACTCGAACATAATAACTTTCTCAAGATTAATTCTCCTCCAAATTAATGCCTGATAAAAACATATGGCATGGTGTTTACCAGGAGAAAGAGCTCTGGTCTCATACATTAGCTTGTTGCATTCATGGCATAAGACCAATGCCACCTGAATGATGCAAAATAATGCCCTTTGGATATTTCATAGCTGTTAATCAAAGCAATATCGAGTTAGATGTAACATCTAAAATATCCTTTACCTGTGCTAACCTCAAATTATGTGGTTGATATTAGAACCCTCAATAAAGTCATTTACTCTGTTTGGAAAGTAGAATTTAAAAAGTCTGTACTTGGCCAGACCAAAGGTATTTGTAGCTCGATTCCCTTTTCACCACAGTGGCGAATTGTGGGTGCTTATGAAAAGCTCATTAGACATAGATTGATTCTTTCCAGGGCATATCCTGTAGCTCCCAATAATTCCAAGCTGGAGATTTCTTTCTAGACCGCTGCATAATAGTCTTCAATAGGCTTGTCTCTAAGATTATTCTGATTCCTTTTTTAACCCATTCCCATTTTTATTACCATACTATGTATATTCTACATTCAGTTCTCCATTGTGGGAAAAATTACTTCCTTGTGTTTTGAATCTGCCAAACAAAAATTTTACAGACTTCCATTCAGTTCTCTTATTGTGAGAAGCTGTACGTGACTGTTCCCTATCTGCCCTAACACCCCTCATCATTTTATAGATTTCTTCCATAGTATCCCCTCACATACCCTTTCTCCAAATAGAAACATCTTGGTCTGTTTACTTTTCACTTACTATCTCCTCAGATGGATAGGTTTCACAACTTTGATCATTCCTTTTGCTCCTCCTTGTAACCTAGAAAAATACAAGATAGAGAAAAGTAGAGTGCTATACCAGTGTTTTCCTGTGTAATCTCGGTTTCCTTCCTTGTGGTTTACCTTTGAACTGTGACTATTTTAATCAAACTGGTCAAAATGATTCCATGGCCTCTTTCTTGAATGGTAGTGATGTTCAGAAAACGTTAGCCTGTATGGAAAAGTTAGGATTTGTTTAAGTTAACCTAATTTTGCTAGCTTTTTTCTCAGTCAGCAATTTGTAGTGTTCTTCTGCAATACTTTACAGCTGGCTTTTGATTTTAGTATCCCAAAGAACTTAGTGTCATCAGTAAGCCTCATCACTGTATCATATTCTTCACCTTTTCAGCATCACTTAGTAATAAAAGACCAATAATAGTGAAATTGTAACAAATCTTTGTTGTGAAATCAGTTGTATTTTTATCCACTGCTGCACAGCTTTTAAACAGTTACCAAGCCACAGATTTTGTCTCTTGCTTCATCAGAAACTTAATTTTTTATGAGCCTTTACTGAGGGGCCTGGTCAAAAGTGTTTTGAAAACCAAACTGGACCCCTCTCAGCTCCTTGTTTGCTTTCATTCACTCATCATAAAGGACTCCAATAGATTTTTGGAGTACAATTTCCATCTCATAAAGCTATATTGACTCTTCTTATAGTAGCCACTTACTGCAACACTAGTTCCAGTTTTGATTACAGTTTTAGTTTATTTTCTTGGTACAGAAATCAGCCATACTGGCTTATGTTTACCAAAAATATCCCAAAGCCTCCATCTTCAATTCTTCTGTTACCCAAGCCAATTCAAGTGGCACACCACAAAAATCAACACAGCAATTTCATATTTCAGCTATGCTGGAATTCAGGAATAGATACTGTCAAGTCCTGGCAATTTGCACAATTCAATTTTATCAATCTGTTCTAAGAGCTTTTTTAGTGAGAGATTTTAACAAGTTATCTGCATTTCTGCTAAAGATACGGACAACCTTATGTCCTGCCCCTGCTCCCTTGCTGTGTGTTGGTACTGGCTTTCATGGTGCTATATAGTCAAGGAAGGGACCTGCCTAAGCAGAAAACAAACACTATCCCCTCTCCAAATCAGCTGGTTTTTGCCAAATAGGGTGGCTGATCTGTCTGTATCTAACTGTAGGACCACTTCTGCTGTTGGCAGGTGTGGGGCATAGGGGAAGGATACAGCAAAACAGACTGAGACCAGCCTAGGCTAATTGTGAAACTGCATCCTGATACTTGAGCCTGAGGCAGTTTGCTATCATTATCATTTTACTCATTTATGTGCATGAGGGATTTCCACAAAAACCCACGCCAGCATAAGATTTAATGATACTGTTGAGAAAGGAGATGGAGTGACCGTCTCTGAGAGTGTAGGAAGGCTCTCTCATCAGCAACATGACATATAGAGAATGGCTCCTTTTGCCATCATGGGTACAAAAGAAATACATTTATTGAAGAGCTGAGACAAGCGGGAACTCTGCCCATTCAACTACCAATTCAAGTAAGATCAGATGAGACATTTTGAGTGGGACTTTTTTTCTCAGCATCTTCCTGAAATCCAGAATGAGAACTGAAATTCACCTTAGCAGAGCTTTCAGGGGTTGTGTGTATACAGAGAATAGGCATTCGAACAAAAGTCTCCTTCTACTTTGTAAATGTTTCTGTGATTTCAGTTATGAAAAGAAACACTACTCTTCCCACCTGCCTACAAAGGGGTTCTGCATTAGGACTATCTGTAAATATCGGTTCATCTCTCATTTCTTCTTCTTATAGGTGTATATATATATACCTTTCCTTTAAATCACATATGCAAACATTTATACTTCTAAATTATATGAATAGAAGTGTGAGTGATGCTTGCAGAGAGGGAACACTTTTGAGTATACTAAAAAAACTTTTTTGATGGACAGTAATGGGAGTACACAAAAATATAAGGGGTTTTCATTGGGAAAACAAGCCCATATACATGTGGGCTGTAGCATACCTCAGCCAGATGGAGTGTTGTAGATCATCTTAAATGTGCAGTAACACGCAATAAGGTTTTAATGGAGTCTCAGATTCCTCCACACACAGAGCTCTTCTCATCTTTTAGGGTTGTCAATATCAGGCCCTGATGCAGCTCAGCTGCCCACAGTTGGGCTGTGTCCTTTGGGCTTGCAGGATACTAGAAAGTCATAGTTCAGTAGAAAGAAGGTTCATGAGAAAGCTCATCAGATCTACTGCTAGTAATGTTCTTAATTTGGGAAAGCACTAAATGGAGTGGGACTTGGTCAGAAGTAAATATTTAATTTCTGTATCCTGCCTTGTTATTCCCACGGTACATCCAGAGATCTGTGTTATGATTTTTGTCCCTAGTTCAGAAAGAATGGTGTTCCTGAGCTGAGGGAATAAAGGACAAACACTGCTCAAATTCCACATTCCTATCAGGTCTAGGGATGAAAATTCCCGTAATCTGCTTTCTCAGTTTTGTTAATGCTCTTTCATCTTCAAATGCATCGTTAAATTTCTTAAATCGTGAAAATACATTCAACAGTCATGATTCAAAAACATTTTGCATTTTTTGGGAGGGGGAGGGCCAACTTGGACTTTTGTGATGGTACAGACAGATGGTGTCCTTTAAGAATCTGGTGAGATTATACAGCTTAGAAAATCTATTACTTTAAGTATCTAAAAGAATACAGAGTTGCTGAGGTTTTGAAACTGCTCTGTCCTAATATCACAGCATTCTTGCAGTGAAGGTTGATCCAGTCTATGATCTTGTAGTGTGGGTCCATATAAATACTAAAAGTGTAGAATATTGGTTTTACAAACAAGAAGAAGGATTCCATGGCAATTTGAGCAATGGAGAAACAATTTTGTGGATAGAATCCCAAATCACTGACATTTTACATTTCCTCTCAGGAATATTGCACTAAAATCTCCTAAAGTAATCCCTAAAACCACATGGTGTTTTTAAATGAATACATGAATAAAATAAAAAAAAAAAATCTGTATTTCTGTAACACCTAGGAATTCCAGTCATGAATGAAAAGCCAATCGTAATAGAAATTACTCTAGATACAAAGCAATATGACAATGTTCTTGATCACAGAGATTTTGCAATTTAATTATTAGGAAAAAGAGAAGTAGATGCAGAGAGGTGTGGCTACTATAGTGAGTGTAAATCCCAGAATCCCTGCAACTAAACTCTGGCCATGACAAGCCTATCCTGACAGATAGTTTTGGAGAGTGACTGAAAGAAGGATAACATTTAAAGTGGCCTACCTTACATGTTTGTAAAGGACAATTCAGACTTCAAGACTAGTGAGGAAGAAAGAATTTTGAAGCATGAGTTGAAACTCAGATAGACAAAGTATTATGGAAGAATTACCTGAGTAAAGATAGGAACCAACTTCCTTGAAAACCAGGAGAGAGAACAAAGAGCTTCTCCAACGCCTTCTCCAATCTTTCATTAATAAAGCTATGGGATGAGACAAGTCCAGATAAGTTTCAATTTTTCAAGAAGACTGAACTATTTTAGGGATAACTGAGGGAAAGAACCATCTAGTTTTACACACTGCATGGATATTAGGACCCTGAGAAGACCAAAGGTAATACATGAATGAAGAGCTGATTTGTCAATTAAGTCAGGATAACTTGCAAGAAACACATACAGCTGTGGCTTATTTATGCTAGGAGACAGAGGACATTATCAATGAGGTGGATAGGTCAACTGGCCAAGATTTTAATTTGGATAGAAAACAGATCTGGAATGAAGAGAAAAATGTCTTATTCCATCCATGTACATTCAGTTAGGAACTAAATGTTGCCCATCTAAACTAGATGCAAAGCTGCGTAAATGTAGCCTCTATATACACCTAAAGGTGTTGAGACAAAAGAGGCTAGTGTGCCTATCAGGTCTCTTTCCACTGAGCTGTGATCCTGATGTATTCAATAGCCACACCTGCCTGACCAGCACTGCACTAGGAACCAGACTTAGAAAGGAAAGAGTAGAAACTGGGAGAGGAGCTTGGAGAGAGTGTACAGGAATTACCTACCATTAATTGGTCCCGGTTTAGAAACCTACAAGGCAGTCTTGAACTGACACGAGAGACTTCAGCATCTTGTGGTTTAGGTCAGGGCGGGCTAAATGCAAACATTCATTATTATGCAATAACTGGATATGTGGGAAGGAGTGTGGCTATTCATCACCTCTGTTAAAGGGTGATTAATAATGCAAAGGACACTACAAAGTTACAGAAGAATGGCTATCTCTACTTCCCCTTTCCTTGCTGCCAGGACCAGTGGTTGTCAGTAATCAGGAGGAGTAACATTAATTGTGCTGGTTCCACCTACACAAGCTTGGTCCCAGATGTCTCTGAAGGCAGGGCTCTGCTACTTCCCTTCAGATTGAGGTAGATGAGTTTTACGAGGTAGAGAGCACCATTCAGTTTAGCTGATCTTTACTGGTTGGTGGTCTATTCTAAAGTGTTGCTTGATGATGGGTATAACATGGGCAAGTATTCTTGTATTAGGTTAGTTCTGCTACTTCTACCAATCATGTTTTCTTAATAACACTTGCCTGATTTTGCTTTACCTGACAAAAGATACATCTCTGACAACTACATAGCAAAACAATGAAGATTGAACTGGGAGCTTCTGACATCAGTGTGACTACTTGAATGACATCAGCTCACTAGAGGCAGCTGAAGACTGTGAAGGATTTTGCCTATGACTTGGGAGACAGAACCTGCTGCTCTGGCCTAAATAATCCTCACCCACCTTCTGCCCCCTCTTTGTTCTGTAACAGAAGACACACCAGCATTGTTTTCTTTTCAGCAGAGAATAATTAGAGGCCACAACAAAGCCACAAGGAGGGTTTTTTTCTAGGTAGAATAGACTTGATAGAGGAAGACAGCTATAAGGTGGGAAGGAGACAGTTGTGGACTTTGGACAAAAGTTGCAAACTCCTAAGAACATGAGGATCCACCCCTGGGGAGGGAAAGATGGGAACAGGTTGAGAGGAGGGAAAGAAACTGAGTACAGCCTCCCCTGCCTTGCCAGGTCTGCTACAGATCCATGACACCCTGCTGACTTCTCCCAGACTCCCTCCCCATCCCTACAAACATCTCCCAGGTGTCTCACAAATACCTTCTGAGACTTCCCTTACTGTTCTCAGGAATCTG